TGAGATAGTTAAGGTACGATGAGAAAGGGCAGAGTGTTGTAGCTATCCACTATTGGATTGGGAAGGAGAGAAATATTTGTGTGGATATGGACTACTATCTTTAATGCATGTGCGACTCATATCCATTAACGACGGGCAATCACTCTCGCTCGTTCGTTTGTCAGCTCAATAATTAGTGTACACGAGTGTGTGTTATAATGTGTTACTCTTGGGCTGGTCTATGTTTATGGAGTTACTTTGTTTTTACTAATTAGGTTTGAGAGATGTGGGGATGATTGAGTGTTGTGACTGGGGGGATGTATTTTAAGTCCGGTCGCCTCATTTGGTGAAGTATGGAGTTTCTGATTTGCAGCACAAGATGCTGACCTTTCCCTGCTTTGTTCAAACTGATGAGCCAGCTTGTTCCCCCCGACCGGCTCTTCTATCATCTGTCAACTTCTTTTACCTTTAGGTTTGGTTCCGTATAGAACAAAGCAAGTAAGATGATTTGATTTATTTGTTGGTATGCATGACCTGTTATCATGCTATCCCAATACACTGAAAAGTTTGGATTCCGAATATTATGCATGAATTCAATGCACCGGAAAGTTAAAACTCATATATGATTTACGATTCATACTAAAACTTAAATTTGAGTTCTAATATAAGATTGGAGTCTAAAGTGGAGTTCATGCCATTAGAGAAATATGATATTCTTCTTTTGCTTTGTTAAGATAAATTTCAATAAAAGTAGACGATGTTACTAAAGGAAGATTTGAAATTTGATGCAGAAAGAGTACATACTTCTTTAGTCAACTTGATTATCTCCAAATTTGATGTTATGGGTTAAAATAAAGAGCTATAATCGGTTCAAAGTTTACAATATACAACCTTCATTGTTAAACCCCTAAACTGTATAGGAGAATATCTTCAGATTGGGTGCATAATTGACAATCTGAAAATATCATCTTGCACTTTTTTTTATACAACCGATTTGATTTAAGCAAATATGTCCACCCCAATTGGAAGGGTTGTCACATAATATTTTACTTTATTTTTTAGGCAAAACGGTACAAACTTCAAGTAATGCATCACGGATAATATTCGGAGGCTCATCAAACAAACAAAAATTCATGCTAAAAAAATAAGGCCAATTTGGCCAATCTATGTGCTACAACAATGGATGTTCGTCGAACATGAATGCTGCAGGAATGGGAGAAGAATCTCAGGCCAGATTCAATGTTATCTATCGCCGGGCTGAGAGGAAAGTGGTCTTGTCGGAGACTACCCACTGCCCGCGCTAAGAGAAGATAATCACTTTCCAGGATAATGTGATCAGAATGCTTCTCCAATGCCAAACTGGTCCCCAGCGTTGCATCCAAAAGCTTCAACCAAGACAGCATACGTCAATGGAAGATAACACATAGTACATAGTAACCACTAGATTTGAGTGAACAATCAGAGTCTCAAATTAGCATCACTTTTAACTTGATTTAGAAACTTAATGCAACATATTAACAACATTTTAGATTGTAATTTTGTCACAAATGTAATTAAGCATGAGTGCCAATATCATGGTGGGTCTTATTAAACAATCCAAAACCACGATCAACGGTTGTAATCCCTCCTCAAGTAACTCGATTCCCGCAAAGAAATGAATGAATCCATTTTACTAATCAATAAACCCCAGACAAAACGCTAATATCATTGTTATGTACATAAACACAATGCTAAACACTGTCATCTTGCTATGGATACTGATAGGGATTTTACTACTCATGTGAATGGGCTAAAAACTCCTATTATACTTGCAAGAATCACAAGGTTATTGTAGTATAAACGGATCTCGCAAGGTCGTTCTCCACATGAATTATTAAATAATTCGAAACAAACCAGATTCCAATTAATTATTGTAAAGTAGAAATTTAGATGATTGATTTTATAATCTACTTAAATTAAAAACGAATTTAATTAATAAAAATAAACAATCTGCAATATTAGAACTAGAGAGAAAAGAAAACAGTTTTGGGAGTATCAAATTAAGAAAACACTAGGGTTCCACCATCACCTAGCAATCTTATGAACTTTTACCAATTACTTACGATCTACACATGCCACTTTGAAGGTTATATTTTCCTAATTCATATTCTACTTGGAACCTCCAACATAGAACGTATATCTAACATGCAAACCCGTCCGGACGTTTGGATCAAATCTGAACATGAAAGACTCATTATGCTTTATGAAAATCCTTTGAAAAACCATGCAATCCTTAAGACGTGGTATTCATCCTAAGCGAAATTACAATTATTAATCACAAGAAGCCAACGTCAATTTCAGGGAACCTTCCGACCAAAATTGCATCAAATTACTTTTCTAAAGATCCTAATGGTGATCAGGCATTAAGACAATTAGATAGTTTTTATCCCGGTGATTAACAATTCAATGTATGCATGCAATCAATCATAAGCAATTAAATAAAAATCACATATTCATGCTAAGGCTCAAGGCTTCGCCCTAGCAAAAGAGATTAGTTACGCATATTCATAATTAAAATCATAGAAAATATTACTAAGAAAAGGATTGAAAACACCTTCAAGTAGAAAATCTCCAAAACCCTAGCAATTCTCTCTGTCTTCAAAGTTGCATAAAAGAAAGCGTAAGGAAAAACTCTAGACGGCCAAGCCATATATCTGCTAAAAACCCCCACACAAAACCCTAAAAACAGGTCCTTTATTCTCGCTAGGAAACGAAAATTAATAATCAAATAAAATAGGAAACAAAACCCTAAATTAAATGGTAAAATTCGTCTAAAATCTGAACAGCCACGTTTTGGACCCATAAGCTGCTGCAAAACTGGCCCAATATAGCTGGATTTAATGTTTGGAATATTCTGATCACTTCTCCAGAAGGCCACGAACCCATCCGAGGTCATCTTGGGCTCCAAAAACGCAATTTAAGCCCAAAAACGTCATTTTCCAGCACTGCGCACTGCTTCTTTATTTTAGAGTAAATTGTACAAATGGTCCCTCAACTTTAATCAAATTGGAGCAATGGTCCCTCAACTAAAAATCCATTACCATTGGTCCCTCAACTTATCAAAATGTGTAGCTATAGTCATTTTCATCAATTTTGTCAAAATTTTGTCAAAATAAGCTATGTTGGAATGACTATTTCTATAATTAGGGTCCCTTAACTCATAAAAGTGTATAATTATGGTTCTTTTCGTCAACTATGTCAAAAAATTTGTTAAAACGAGTTATATTGGAAGGACCATTACTACAATTGGGTTAAAGTTAAAGGACCATTTCTCCACTTGAATTAAAGTTCAGGAACCAATGGTAATGGATTTTTAGTTGAGGGACCATAGCTGCACGTTTTGATAAGTTGAGGGACCAAAGGTAATGGATTTTTAGTTGAGGGACCATTGCTCCAATTTGATTAAAGTTGAGGGACCATTTGTACAATTTACTCTTTATTTTATCGCCAGAAAATAACCACTTGGTGGAAAAATCCCAAATTTTGATATAATCAAGCTAAGTGACTCACGAACGTCCTCCAACTGGAATTACTCCAAAATTCATCCATTTGGTCCTATTTTGCTCCAGAGGAAGTCGAAAGTCCTATATTGAAAATACAATTCAAAGTATCAAAATTCTTCCAATATATTAACCAAAATATACTAAGATTAAGGTAAAATATATAATATAAAATATACTCATCAGATACCAAGGGAGATTTTCTTTTGTAACGTGGTGATGCAAATATGTGACAATGTCCGACCACATCGCAGACATATAAACAAAACCCTAATTCGATTTTTAACGTACTAGCTAGAATTTTTGGTCATTGGAGGTACGAGCTAGATTACTTACTAGAGAAGACTTACAATCTAAATCTTTTTTTTTTAATATAAAAAAATACGATATTTGTTAAGATGCCGATAAAAAGGGAAAACAAAAAATGGAATAGGCAATGTGAATCTAATCGATTTGTTGCTACCATCCAAACTTCTGTAAAACGTCTCAGACATCTAATTAAACAAGTAATAACCAAGTTAAGAAATTAACATATATTACAAATTGCGAAGCAAGAGATCCTAAATTAAGTAAATTAAGCAAGATACCAACCCAAGACTCATCTTTCTCAACATTTCCAGAGTTCATATGGGGAGTCTCGTGGCTAGCTAATATAGTAATATTTCCCCTGCAAGATTATATTTTGTGATGGAGGCCTCACATTGTACCACCCTAAACCATATAGAAGAGGATATTTAACGATTAGTAGCATATAGTCACAATCACTACTTAACCAATTTGTTTCGATTAAGTTAATCAAGTGGAGTCGAGACTGATTTGGGCGACTCTTGCGTTTTATAGGTGTGGTTGCAAGCTTACACACACACACACACCTATTTATAGGTGTGGTTGCCGACATAAATAATGCTAGAATTTTCTAGCATATTATTACACACATAGCAAACCGACTTGCTTTCCTAAAAGGCTTTGAGTTCTCCTAGCTTCTAATACATTCTTTAGCTTAGATATTTAGGTGGATAACCAACTTAAATTACTGGAATCTTTCAACTACTTTTGCCGACAAAGATTGCTAGATTTTTCTAGCTTTTGCATGCATTGGTTTTGAATTGGATCACTTGTCTTAGGCCACACCAATTGGGCTGGTGTTGATTTTCAACAAAATACTCGTTAGGTTAATTTGTTAGAGAACTGTGCAAAAACCCTTTTAGCAGAGTTTGAGTCCATTTCTTCATAGATGAGAATTGTTTAAAATATCATGAAAAAGGAAACGACGACATTGTTAGACATGTACCTTACATATTCAGATCCAAAAAGCTTAACATCAAAATTAAGTGACAAAATTACAACCTCTGATAGAATAATTGTGTAGAAACTTCAGATATTATTAATATATATATATATATATATATATATATATATATATATATATATATATATATATATAACTCGATAATCCAGAAACTTAAAACAACACACAACAACTAAGGAATTGCCTTCATTTCTCCACAAGATATTATTCCTAAGATGATTAATTAGATTTATTCTTAGAAGCTTTAAGACGCTGAGGATCTGTCTGATAGAAAACTATTTCTCCATCGTCACTGACATAGTTATCTTCATAGATGCTTGTAGCCAAGATCTTGAACAAGTGAAACGGAATTGGCCCTGATTTTTTTGGCTCGCGATAGTACTTCCCTAGAACCGGCTTCGCTGCCTTCGTCTGCAAAAGAAGTAGGTATGCATGTAAATCAAATGTTACAGACCAAGCCTGCAAAGACAAAAAATCAATAATTTCAATTGATAGCTAAGGATCACTTACTGCTTCTTCCAGGTGATAATGTGGAATTTGAGGAAACAAATGATGTATAACATGGGTACCAATATCATGATGGATCTTGTTAAACATTCCGTAATCACGATCCATGGTTGTAAGCCCTCCTCGCAGGTAACTCCATTCCTGCACCAAAAATAAAACAAAATCAATTTGCAGTACTAAATGGGTATAATATGTAAGAAAAAGGATTTATCATCTTAATAAACTATTGTTATTTACACAAGCGCAATGTAAAACACATCCATTGACAGCATATACAGAAAAGTTTTACCTTGCCGCGATACCAAGGGAGCTTTGTCTCGTAACCATGGTGATGCAAGTATGTGACAATGTCCAACCACATCACAAAAATCTGTGAAAATGTAGTGCATGATCAAATTACAGACATAAACAAAACCTTAAGTCTATATTAAGTTAGTAGATTACTAACTAAACAAGAATTTTAAAATGAACTCACCCAATAAGGAACAAAATATAACTTAAGCATTTGAATAGGGCTTTGCACAATGGAGAAATACAACAGCAAAGCAGCCGCTAGAACAACCGAAGCAGTTGAAGTTATAACATCAAATCGTTCATTCGGGGAGAATAGGTCACTGCTTGGATGGAAGTGAGATCCTTCTTTACCAGGAGATCTATAAAACTGCATTAGCGGACAAATAAAAGTAAAAGTAAACAACTAATGATCAAACAATGAAAACCTTCACAAAACTGTTTAACTAGACAGATTAATCCCTCAATTAAATTAACTCTCACCAGATAAACCGGATAAGCGAGGAACGGAAAAGGAATTGTGAATCTCAACGTTTTTGTGCTATTATCCAATTTTTTGTAGAGCGACTCGGTCATCTGAAATAGATAATAACCAAGTTAAAAATTGAATTATTGAATATCAATAGAAGTTGCAAAGCAAGAGAATTAAAATAAGTAAAACACGTACTGGAACCCAAGACTCATCTTTCTCAACATTTCCATGGTTCCGATGGTGAGTTCTGTGGCTAATTCTCCTGCAACATTCAGATATATTGTTGATAAAATACAGTAATTTAAGAAATCATATTTTCAAAACACATTGTAAAAAACATTACTAACACATCCATCTTGTGTTAGAGACGTGGTCATAAACATAACTAATAAACATGTTGAAGCATTACTCTAAACATTTATAAACATTGCTGAAATTTGCTACATTCGTCTAAAAACATGTGAGTAGATCGTGATCATTGATGCACTTTCAGACTATTCAAAGTCAAGAACCTTTCACATGCGCATAGACATAAACCCTAGCGAAATTCAACAATGTTCAATACTCAAGGTACAAGAATTTTAAAGAAATAAATCGAAAACCCACCAGCCATGATAAGGTACAAGAATGGCAGAGTGCATAATATGCCCCACAAAATTATTCAGCAAGCGAGAGTCTGAGAAGCTTCCATGGCCACAATCGTGTCCGATAACAAACACAGCCCAAAACATGGTTCCCTGAGCAACCCAGTAGATTGGCCAAGCATACCAACTGTCTAAGTATTTGGCTATGGCTGCCATTGCAAAAACGACCAAAACATCCCAAACAGCATAACTCAAAGACCTCCATGGATTCTTTACCCAGCAGTGTTTGGGGATTGCATCTCTGATCTCAGCAATCTTGAACGGTGGAGGGGCACTTGGGTCAAAATCAACTTGGTCTCCGGTCACATTGGCTACCATTTTTTCTGCAACCAACTAAGACTCACAAGTAAATTAAAAAAAAAAAACCTAAATTTAAAAATTGATATTTAAAATATTTCCAAGTTTAAACTACAAGATATAAACACAATGAAGGAGAGCAACTTACAACAGAAACCTTTTGAACTCTTTGGACTCTAGAGATATTTCTGAATTACGAAGTTGGCTATACTTATATGTGTTTAAGCTTATCTAGTTAAGGGAATGATAATCGAATCGAATTAATGGATTTATGAATAATCCATTAACCATCCCAAGATCCAAAGAGTTCAAGTGTCTCAAATTTTGGGTTTATCATAATTTGTGTTTCATAGTTACACATTCGTTAATTCAATTGCGCGCATTTATTATTTTTTTGATGCACCATTGAAAATGTAGAAGTTAGAAAATTTGATAAATCTAAAGAGTCCAAGAGGGTTTATTTGAAGTCAATTCATCGTTTCAATACAATGAATTAGAAAGAATAATAAATCCAAAGAGTCAGGAACTAAAAATTTAGAGAAATGCTAAATGAGCTCTCTCAAAAGTGGAATTTTTCATAAATTCTCTGTTGTCTCACAATTACATCAATTCTCATGTCAACTTCATAAAACATTGTGCAAAAAATATAAGGTGACAAAAATTCCATAAAAAGTCTTACTTTTAAGATACCCCCTTGACAATTCTAAAAAATTAAACATGATGAATTACAAGTGAGCACTGTATTAATAAAAGGGGCACATTCTATTAATGGTGTAAAAAAAAAATTGATAGAATATGTCACCCATTTTGCTTTTGAATATGTACCTCATTGCGGATTTCCCTCTTCGAATAATTTTTATATCGGGCAATTCTCCGCTTGCCGCCACGTCTACACATAACAATTCGGTATCCCATCCCCATAGAGAAATGTGTAAACAATTTTTGCAATAACATTTGCATTTTTGGACCTTTTCATCTTAACAAATGACACATGACATTTTTTTACACAAAAGAAGAAGAACTTTATCTTAACAGTAATGGATGATCCATCTTCATCAATAATTTTTTTTTTATTAGATAATACTTCGAATTTTATATATTAGAAAGCAAAATACACTTGTAAGGAGTTGTTGATCCTAAAAACTACCAAGCTACGTGGCGCACAGGCTGAGTAACTAATGAGCTAACTACGTCATTCGGTTGTGTGTAGGGCGTGCCAACTCGACGGCCGAGCTCGGCCTGTGAGTAAAATGAGTTGATGTTGCGTTGAGCGTGCTGCTGACTTTTTAATCTTGCGATTGCGGCTGAGGAAGGAACACGTCTCGGCCTTCGGGTTCTAGAGCCTGAAGACAAGGATGCTAGTTCTACGAAGTTCAATATCAAATTCGGCTTTCAATGTGTCGAATGTAGTAACTTGTAATACCTCACTTCGCCGAGAAGGCTAATGAGATGACCTCTGCCAATAAGGATTCGAAAATCCTTCTCGATCGAGACTTGGATAGATAACTAGTCGGTCTCGACGCAGTGCTATTTATCCAAACTGAAAGTGCTCCGCGGTCGGTTGATTCTACAGCAACAATGTTGTTTATCCAAACTGAAGATATTCGCCGGTTGCCTTCACAGTGCTATTTATCCAAACTGAAGATGTGTCGGCTAAAAAGAAAATAAAAATCTCAAGATTGTTGAGAGGTTTCGCGTAGAGTGAGAATTTGCCCAGGACAGTTTGTGTGTTGAATTGGAGGGGGCTTTTTCGTTGTTTGTAGCCTTGTATTTATAGGGACGAGTATGCGCTGGTTGATAAGCTGGTAAAGACTACCATGTTATTAGAACTCTTCCACTGATTTGAGCCTCGGATAAGCCTTACTCCCCCCAAGACTCTGAACTTAGCCAAAAATACAACCAAGTCTTATCAGTTATCACATCAAATCCCTAAATAATCTGCATGCTTGGAGATGAACAAATAAATAGTCACCAATTATTATACACACACACACACACACACACACACACACATACATACATATATATGCATACTATATAGCCTAATCTCATCATCAATTCTTATGGCCTTGTACTCAATCTGACAACACCATCACCATGCATTAAAAACCTAGCCTACCTAGGTTTCTCACGTCATCACCAAAATCGATCATCTTTATTGTCGTGCATGCATTATGATCAAATGAATTTCAAATTCATTTTAAGCTTCCAAGTGCCGTCAAACATCCCAAATCAATTCGAACTGTATTGCTTTATTTGAGATATAAATCGCATCCTATTTATCTGGTTTAAGAAGATACCAAGAAGATAATTATTATGATAAAATCCATAATATTATCCTTTAGCAAAAATATCTCCATTTTCCATCTGACGGTTGAGAACCATGCTCACTCAACGGTCTCGATTACTTGGGCCGATGGTGTAAAATCGGGTCCAAACATTGCCCCCCAATTTCCTTGAACTTCGGCTCGTAATCCGAATGATTAAGGAAATTAGCTCAGTCGAAGAACTCTCGTATCGCCAATAATGAAACTTTTTACTCGGCAACAACATCTCTGTATTGCCAACGATGTGGTCTTCCTCGGCTGCCACAATTCTATACAAGGCTCGGCCACTTTAATAGATAACCTCTTCGACCATCTCGAAAAAAATTGGACCGAGGAAAACCAAATGGTGCCGAGGGCCGAGATATATAGGTAACTTGATTACCTAATATAATTTGTCGACCATGCATATATATATATATATATATATATATATATATATATATATATATATATATATATATATAATGAACCTGTACCAAGCACCAGTTCGCCGAGCTCGACATGTATGATATAGGTCGAGAAGAGTTGGGGGTAAAGGGCCGAGGGAAAAATCTTCCTTGCGGCTCATTTCTCGGCCATGCATATATATATCCAATGTCAGTAACGCATGTGATTTTTTATTCCTGTGGCCCAAAAACATTCTTTCGGCCACTTCAACCAAAAGCATTTCTTAAAATTTTATTCCTGTGGCCAAAAGCATTCCTTCGGCCAAAAGCTTTTCTTCGGCCAATTCGGCCAAAAGAAAACGGATAGATACTCGTTGCCTCCCTTATTTTCTTATGCTTCATCGGCTCAAACAACCAGATGGATAAGAATATATAAAAACTGAAATCTAAAATACGGGAATAAAAATGGCCGATCCATGATAAGGAGGAGGCCAACGATGCTTTATCCCAAGCCGAGATCATTTTTATAACAAAGTTTTCAATCGGATTTTGCTCCAGGCTGAATAAAGAATAATCTCCAAATACTTTTGACTTGGCAAAATATTTTTTATTTTTGGCCGCCGAATATGTTGAACAATTATTATGCCCCCCAGGCATAATTTCGGCTTTTAATTCAAATAACTTGGCCGAATGAGATTTCTCCATATCGGCTTTATCACCAATAATCATATCGATTTGCGTGGTTTTTTTTGGCTAGGCCTATGTCTCGGCCTTGTTTATCATTGGAGCACTCCTCTGACGAATCATTTTCTAAGTTGATTTGTGACTCAGAAACTTGAAATTTTTCTTCTAGGCCTACCACAATTTCAGTCTCAACCGAAAAAACAGGTGGCCTAGGTTCTCCTTCGGCCGTTTTGGCAATTTCCTGAGGTAGAATTTTGATTGTGGCCGGAGCGAAAAATTACCCCCCAGCCTCTGGACTTAACCATTTTTCAAATGGAATTGATCTGTAATCAGAAACGTTAAGGGAAACGTTCTTCATCTAGCCATGCATTAAATTGAGCCATGTCTTCGTTTACCCATTACTCTTGTAGGGTAGCAGGAGCTTTTATTCTCAACATGTAGGAGAATGATTTTTGCTTGGCCCTCATGCCATAAAGAACTTTTACCGCTTCCCATGATTTTTTTATCATTCTCAAGGCGTTTTTTATTTTCCTGAAGGCGTTTTGTACCCTTATCACTGTTTCTTTTCAATTGTGCAAGAAGCTCGTGCAATCGGCTAAATGGAGCCGGATTGGAATCTTGATCTATCATATGAACTTCGTAGTTTTAGCACTGGGTCCCACTAGGCATGCCAAAATGTTGACCCTAAAAACTACCAAGCCTACGTGGCGCGCAGGACGAGTAACTAATGAGCTAACTACGTCATTCGGTTGTGTGCGGGGCGTGCCAACTTGACGGTCGAGCTCGGCCTGTAAGTAAAATGAGTTGATGTTGCGTTGAGCGCGTTGCTAACTTCTTGATCTTGCGACTGCGGCCGAGGAAGGAACACGTCTCAGCCTTCGGGTTCTAGAGCCTGAAGACAAGGCTGCTAGTTCTGCGAAGTTCAATATCAAATTCGGCTTTCAATGTGCCGAATGTAGTAACTTGTAACACCTCACTTCGCTGAGAAGGCCAATGAGATGACCTCTGCCAATAAGGATTCGAAAATCTTTCTCGACTGAGACTTGGATGGATAACCAGTCGGCCTCAACGCAGTGCTGTTTAGCCAAATTGAAGGTGCTCCGCGGTCAACTGATTCTACAGTAACAATGTTGTTTATCCAAATTGAAGATGTTTGTGTTGGAAGTATGCCCACAAAGTCACTCATTTGATGTAATAGCTTTTGGAATACTTATTGTATTAAACTTTTATATGTTTAATGAAGGGCAAAACTTATTGTTAATCACTATTTATTGTATCATGTGTTTAATCAATAAGGGAATCCAATGAATGTATTTGATCTAAGAGATAAGTGATTTAAGTAAGTTAGATTAACGAGACCTTTCTCTTATGTTCATTCCTAAAACGTTCCTAGCCATAGGATTGCCAATTGGGCATTGACAATCCGCTAAGGTTAGTATGTGTTATGTTGACTCAAGCGCGAGTATGACAAGTCTCAAGTCATTTAGTGTTGGACACTAAGACAAACACATAGGTGCTCGAAAGAGTAATCGAGTACACTGAACAACGATCAAAAGAGAGTTCAAACATACATGTCATGTAAGAACTCGATAGTTGCAATATGCAAAGTAGTCCTTTGACCTGAGGCATCATAGATGTCTAATGGTTAGGTCCTTGATCTTTGATCATGTTAAATGGCATTCCATTGGAGTGTCCACGGCATTGTTGGGATCAAGCTATCTAGTCATGTAGGCATATGAATGCACAACAAGGGATCTCTAACCTTCTATGGTGGAAGGAGAATACTCTAAGATATGATTCGGGAGTCTTTGGCCAAATCATATGAATATGACTTAGGAAATTTGTTCCAAATCATATTCAATCGAATCATATAGAGAAGTATCACATTGGATAGTAGACATGAAACAAACTATCACTCAAACAATGTGATTAAGAGTATTGTATTAGAGAAGGACCATATTGCATTGTAGTTGTAACTGGATAGGTTCTCCAACCA